AGCTGAGAACCACCATGAAGACGACAGACGAGGAGCTGAGAACCACCATGAAGACGACACAGACGAGGAGCAGAAGACCATCATGAAGACGACACAGACGAGGAGCAGAAGACCATCACGAAGACGACACGGACGAGGAGCAGCAGACTATCATGAAGACGACAGACGAGGAGCTGAGAACCACCATGAAGACGACACAGACGAGGAGCAGAAGACCATCATGAAGACGACACAGACGAGGAGCAGAAGACCATCATGAAGACGACACAGACGAGGAGCAGAAGACCATCATGAAGACGACACAGACGAGGAGCTGAAGACCAATACGAAGACGACACGGACGAGGAGCAGCAGACTATCATGAAGACGACACAGACGAGGAGCAGCAGACCATCATGAAGACGACACAGACGAGGGGCAGAAGACTATCATGAAGACGACACGGACGAGGAGCAGAAGACCATCATCAAGAAGATATAAGACATTATAAAACGCAAATAAAAAAATGTATTTATCTTATGACTTTTATTTTGAGTTACAACCAAAAATAATTATTATAACAGTAGGTTGATATCAGTGTCTGTTAGTCACATAATAACAAACTATGAAACATGTGGGTTCGATCCCCAGTTTGGACCAAATTAATTTTAAAATGTTTGCTGACCTAGGCCCTACGTACGTACCTTACATACATTATACTTAGCAAAAAGTATATAAGTATAGGGCAAAATAGTGTGTAATGTTGTTTGCATTTGCAGCAAGGGGGTCTAAGCAGAAAGTCTTGTTGGTATATTTGTGCGTTACTTGTCGAGAAAATGGTCATTTAAATCTTATAAATAATTAGGAGTGCGTAACCCAGGCCAGATGTTGTCGAAAAGGGTGATTTGAATCTTATAGATCAGGGATGGCCAACTTGTTTAGACCCAAGATCGATTTTTCCCAGACAAATTCTAACTTTTGCCCGGTCAAAACAACATCATTTAATGATCAACATACATTTAATACATTTGGTTTTTTCTCATTAAGTGCTAGATTATTAATGGTGAACCAATTATGCACTCGACGAATGGAGCTGTTTACGTAGTCAAGATTATTTGCACGTCGACCTATTTTAGAAATTAATAATCAAATTCCATTCTTGGTTCATTCTTGAATATAAATGGCACATTTTTTATATATACTAAAAAGAGAAAGGGACCTAATATTGAACCCCGAGGAATGTCTATATTCATCTCAGAGCCCTGTGAGTTAATACCGTTAACATTAACCCTTTGACTGTCTTTCTTTTAAATAAGATTTCATAAGACGCAGAGTTTCTTATCCCATAGTGATCTAATTTCAGCAAAAGTGTCTCGTGGTAAACGCCATCAAATGCTTTTGAGAGGTCATCAAAGACACCAATAGCATTCTGTGCTATCCCAAGCACCAAATATTTCCTTCATCAAAGTGACACCGTCGTCAGTTATGCAACGACCTTTAGTGAAACCGTATTGTTGTTGGTGAAAGATAGAATGTTTATTAAAGTGATGGAGCATCCGAGACAGCATCAACTTTTCAAACACTTTTCTGAGAACTTGTAAAACAGGCACTGGCCTATAGTTGTTAGGTTCTTTAGTGTTACCAATTTTAAATAGTGGGATAACTTTATTATATTTCATTAGGTAGGTCAGGGAAAACACCGTCATCTATACTTTTATTAAAAATCACGGCGCTACAGTTTGAATGAGTGACTTGCAAACTTTTACCGATAGTCCCCAAAGATCCTCTGTTGATTTAGAATTGATTTCTTTAAAAACTTTTATAATTTCTAGAGAATTCGTATATCGAAAACTGAAGTTGTGTTGACATAATTCTATGTAGTTCTTAAGCAAAATAACAGAGAGGTTTGCTGATGACTTTAAATGTTTAATTGTGTTGATAGGACTGTTGGTCAAACAATTTAAAACTCTTGCCACCTACCGCTTGACCAATGTGCTTACCGGACACGGAAGTTTCAGTATATAGGTTCCTGTTTCGGATTGGGCGGGAGGAAACGCCCGGGTGTAATCACTGCGAGGATCGCCCGGAGGACACGGTGGAGCATACGGTGGTGTTGTGTCCTGCGTGGGCTGAGCACCGCCGTGTCCTCAGGAATGTGATCGGCGACGGCGAGCTCTCGCGTCCGGCTCTGGTTCAGACCATGGTACGGAGCGAGGGTGACTAGGGTGCCGTCTCATCCTTCTGCGAAGCAGTCATGCTAGCTAAGGAGGAGGCAGAGCGCGTGAGAGAACAAACCTCCTCACGCCCTCGCCGTCGCAAGAGACACTCCAGGCGTCGGGCATCGCGAGACGATCTCCGGCCACCGTAAGTACGGGCCTGCGGACGGCGAGCACGGGTGACTCGCAGCCCGACCAGAACCAGCCCCGAGCGTACGCAGACCACCACAGATGGGGCCCAACAGGGCTGATGCCGATACGGAGCCGCAGAAGACTTAACGGGTTGCCGGGGCTGCGGCTCGAGGTGCAGGAGTGGAAACGGGGTGGTTTTTAGTCAGTAAGAGTCTGACACTCCCTCTCGCCTCACCCGAGCGGGAGATGTCATTGGATGATTTTCCCCCCACAACACAGCTCAACACAGGACAACTGAATGGTGTGTTCAACTGACAGTGCTACAATGTGTTTCCTTCCTTTTGATTTAATACCTAATATTATAATAAGTATGTCAAAAGCGCCTACGCACGGAAATTTGTTCTGGATTCCACAAGATCCGTATCCGTATCCGTATCCGTATCCTACACCTGACGAAAAAATTAAATTATTTAACATAGTGTTACATTCATATCATGCCAGAGATCACACTCCCAGAGTATGTGATGGGCAGACTGCTCGTATTTTTTAGCAATTTTATTTCGATCACGTTGTGCTAGAAAGCTTGCCTACAAATTAGGTCTAGCATACGCAATGTAGTACGGTAAAATGGGGTGAATAGGGATCGAGAGGTGAATAGAGACAGAAGAGGGGTGAGTAGATATTGGGAAATTCTTCATAGTATCGATTCACCCCTCTTTTGTCCCTATTCACCTCCCTACCCCTATTCACCCCAATTTACGGTACATAGCCAGCACGTTGCTGCACCTCAAGATCGACCGGAAGTACGCCCGCGAGCACATGTAGGGCCTCAGTGCTATAACCGTCCTATAAGCCTTACACAGGAAAATCAAGGCTAGACGCTGGCCTTGGAGAAGTTTTCACCGTACCGCGCCTATTTTGGCCCAATCAGCCTAGACAGGTGCCCCGTAGCATAGGCATCCCAGGTAGGTTGCTCCGTATATGAACCTGACCGTAAGAAAAGAGAGACCCAGATGGCTTTTGAAATTTGCGTGATAGAAATAGAAGTTATTTTTGGCTTTCTCACTAATAGCCAATATGTTCAATGAAAGAAAAGTTTTTAGTTTTATGTATACTAAGCTATGGAAATCAATAACTAGCCATTTATAAGAAATTTCATTTTTGATGAAGTCCCAAATCTCTTGAAAAATAAGATAATTAGAAAAAATAATACACAGATTGGGTTATGGGCACAAAAATATTTATTCAAAAACTTTCCGCACTTGAAAATCTTAGAAATCAAATAAAAAGTATACAATGTAACAAACCTTAATTTTGATGCAACATTCTAAAATGATAGGTGCATGGCGCAAGCAAGATACAGTTTTCTGAATTTATTATTGTAATTTTTATACTCATTCATTATCATCATCATCATCATCATTAACAGCCGGTAGACGTCCACTGCTGGACAAAGGCCTCCCCCTTAGTCCTCCACGTTGAACGACAACTCGCCACCTGCATCCACTGGCTCCCCGCAACTCTGGCGATGTCATCGGTCTACCTAGCGGAAGGCCTGCCCACGCTTCGTCTTCCGGTCCGTGGTCTCCACTCAAGGATTTTCCTGGCCCATCTGCCGTCAGACCTTCGAGCGACGTGACCTGCTCATTGCCACTTCAGTCTGCTAATTTTGCGAGCTATGTCGGTAACTCTAGTTCTTTGGCGAATTTCCGTATTTCGGATTTTGTCCTTCCTCCTTCCCGGAAGAAGAGCAAGTTGCCGGAATCCAGGACCATCGTATCCTGACCTTCTCTTCGGATTTCGGTAGTCATAAGATATCCCAACGCATTTTGCTCAATTCTTTCTCTAACTCAACAATCTTCTCATCGGTCCGCAGTGTGCGGATGTTGTGTGTTGCCAGGACCAAAGTTCGTTGGGGGTGGAAGCGATTCATCTGCCGGGGATTCTTAGCATCTAGCATCCCCTGCTCGATCTGTTACCCGATCCGCTACCTAGATCAGGAATAGCGTAGCTGCCGGGGCTTGGGTCTGCTATCATCCCTACGCTTGGCAGGCGGCTTGGGGATCGCAGTTAGGTCAAATACATCGGTGTATTTATGGAACGCTGCAGCCCATTGCCCCATTCCTCGGTGTCTGGTCGTAGTTTTAGGACGTACCCGGGTCCATTTTACATTTTTATACTCCATCATGCATATTAACGTTTGTTTGTAATTTTGGCGGGCAAAAAGCGCAGGCTCTTGGAATCTTATAAACTTGTCTTTATCATGTTCTAACATTTTTGTCTTTGGTCAGTCTGAATGGTTTTGTTTTGCTAAGCTTTACATCTTGTTCGGGTCAAAACTCCATTTAACTCACTGATATGATAAAGGTTCATGATTTAACTGCTCTATGAAACAAATTATAAAATAAATATAATGATCAATTATTGTAACGGAAAAAATGCCGACTAGTGGTACCATAGACAATACAGTTCCATGGACTGTACGTAAGTTTTTCGCTTCTCTACTTTAAAAACAAATAAGTCTAATTATTAGTCTATGGTTAAAACCTGTCTGTACTGTAAACGTGAGAGAGATTGACTCAAATTATTTTTCATACGGTTATCGTTTATTCAGCGATCTGTTAGTTCTTTAACTAAAAATTATTTATTTAAAATTTAATATAATCATTAGTGATGTCATATCAATTGTATAGAAATACCACGATCGGAAATACTCTACAAGAAAGCCTTGACGAATTGATACAGGTATTGTTTACATTGTTTTGTAAAAAAAATTATTAATGATTGTGCTTTGTTGCTACATAATGAATGAATTTACAGTATGGACAAATAACGCCAGCGTTAGCAGTGAGAGTTTTGTTGCAATTCGATAAGTCGATCAACCAGGCGCTATCTAACAGGGTGAAGTCAAGACTTACCTTCAAAGCAGGAAAATTAAATACGTACAGGTAATTCGATACTCATTTTGTCTATAATAGCGCTTACACTCGAAATGTTGGTAATCAAATGGTCAAATAATATCTTTTAGACCTTGTGGGAATGGTTTCTTAACCAGAAATCGATTCTTATTTACAAAGAATGAACCGTCGCACCATGTTTCACAAGGACTACATCTTTTTCACTACAGGCTCAATATTTTTTTTTTTTTTTCTTTATTGAACCAAAAAATTATTTATCCGACATATTTATAATAATTACAAGAGTTATTTAATATATTGTTTATATTTTCATAGTTTAAAATATTCGTATTTGTTTTTTTTTCAGGTTTTGTGATAATGTATGGACATTCATGTTGAACGATGTAGAATTTCGGGAAGTACAAGAGGTTGCAAAAGTAGATAAAGTCAAAATTGTAGCATGTGATGGCAAAAGTGAGTATTACGAATACATGGACACACTGTAAAATATGGTTCTTAAGTTATTACAAATTGAACACAACAGATAGTCTATCCCTGAAATATTTGTCTTTATTTCACAATAATTGTGTAATTCATATAAAAATGCCTTAACTTCATAATAAAACGTAACAGTCTAACCATGGTGCCTGTGTCTTGCCACTAACAACAAATATTATCATTGAGCTGCAACACAGGTTTGTCAAGCCATGTGGCGACTTCTGAATAGTATAGATTCATCAGCAGCTACCTTCCCATGGGTGTCGTAAATGCTGCTGTTGTCTATGTTTATGGCAGGGTTATCTGAAATTATTTGTAGTGATGGATTATTTGCTTGTTTCTTACATCAATGAGATTTGACATAAGAAATAATGTGTAATGTGACTTGTCTGGTGTTGCGAGTATCCATGGGTGCTACTGATCGCTGACCCAGAGCCTGTCAGAGAGAATAATTACATTGTGAAAAGGATCATGGGCACATTAATTTACACAGAAATGAAATGAAATGCGATGTCTAGAACACGTGAATATAAATTGTTTCATAATTATTATGAAGTTGTTAGAAAATCACACTTCAAATGTAATTAGCATTATAAAAATAGATATTGGTTCTACATCCAATGCAACGATGATCTTTTGTGCAATTAGTACTGTACTGTAAACCCAAATGTTGCAATTTTGCTATAATTAATTGAATGATAGGTGCTGTATCATCATCATTGTACACTTGTTCAGGGTGATTGGTACTGATTATGACATTCCTATTGGGACATAGGTGAGGTCCAAAGTAACAGATTATGTCATGATGTTGGACTCTTGGTTATAACCTTTTATCTGTTGAAACACTGGCTCCCAGTATAAAACATTTTATGCCCGCAACTTTCAACATACAAGAGGATAAGCTGTTTTGTAACATTACATTATGTACCACCTTCTATAACTAAACCACTTTTGCAGTACTTATTATGTTATTTATCAAATATTTTTCTATTTCCAGATGTTGAAGACCGAAAGTAACCTTTGGGGACTCAAACACATTAGGTTTAATTGTAACTTTATTCTCTGATGCTCTGAATTTCTCAATATTCTCTTTTCATATTTCATGTAACATCTTGTGACCAAAATTTGTTAAAAATAAAATTGTATAAGTGGGACAATGCAGTTTCTTTCTGTGTGTTGTAAATGTTGTTGAAATAAAACACATATTATTTATTAATGTAGTATTTAATACAATATCCTAAAAAAGAAATATTACGTAATATTTATACACGTATTTACAAATACCTAACCCATGTAAACAGATCTATTATGGAACGAAATGTCTTAAGAACAATGGCATATTGCACATTGTTACACAAAATGACGAAAAATATATACCCATAATAATAAATTAAAATTGTTTCTAGATTTAATTCTTCTTTCCAAACCAACAAACCAAATTATACATTATAATAATAAACTATAAAACAAAAATATCAAAATAGCTCTTCAAATTATATCTATCAAATTATACAAAATTACTCACTGACCATCTTACTATCTAAATCCGTCACCGGCGTCTACTGTGGGCACTGAACATGATATGAGATGGAGCCACCACCGTTACAGATTCTACGTGAATAACTAGTTATAGTAAAAAGGTAGGTTACATGTATGTAGATGCAGGAGATGCGATCACTAATTCACTAAATATTAGGCCTATGAAATCAATGCACTGATAGAACACAGTAATTATATCACACGGCGTCTATATTAGCTACGTTCACTTGAGTTTTACGAAACAATAACACTTTGGAGTAATTATGCAACTAAAATTTGTGTCATACATAAAGCTATTGTTGAATATCACAATTAAATACTAGAGATGCATCGATGCACACTTTAGCCGACACGATAAAGATATTTTTAGATTAGGATCTAAATTTTCCAAAAATGACATATAGTCAAGTTAAAATAATTCACGCCACAATCACATGATAGTGAAATATACAGCGCAAGTCCGGGGAAGAAAAGTCTAATAATTGAAGCTATTATAGTAGATAATTGTGTTTACAAGAATTAATTAAACACGGTAATAACAGCGAAAAGTTAAAAGCATGTCAAAGGCTATATCAGCAAAATTAATATTGCCGATTCCGATATATCGGAAAACGCAATCGCCGATATATCGTTATCGGATGCATCCCTATAAATACCTTACCATAAAAAGAGATAAAACTATGTAGCAATAGTCGACTCAAGCGCAGTAAGAGGGGGGCGAGGTGAGGTCAGCGAGGAGGTCGAGTTCCTCCTCAGTGAGTTGTTCGCGATGTTTGGGCCAGTCGTCCTGGTGCGTGCGGCGGAAGTCTGCGAGCGCGTCGCGGATGGTGGCGGGGATGGGGTCCGGCGCGCTGGTGTGTCGCGCCAGCTCGGCCAGTACGTCGCCGAGGCGGGCGCCGAGACTGTATGGGCGCGACGCCAGGTACCCGCAGAGCCCCAGCACGCCGCAGTGCCGCTCCACCAGTTGCTTAGACCGACAGCTCCGCATGAGTCCTTGCATCGTGACATTCTCGTCCGGCAGCGCGCGACAGTGCATTAGGCCTGTCAGTAACTTCGCTGCAGACTGTCGCACCTGAGACAATTATTGTAAAAAATAAACATGACGTCGCAAGAGTTTGGTTACTAAGAGTTACAATAATTAAACAAATGTTTAGTATCTCACCTCAAGTCTTGGATCTCGCATCAGTTTGAGTGCGAAGCGCTCAGTGGCGATGGCGCGGTCGGCGCGGTCACATAACAATGGCAGTCCGTAGAACAGTAGTGGCTGAGCGAAGTCCAGGCACGCCAGGCGAGCCGACCATGAACGACCTAACGTCATATAATACAGTAGAATCAATACATTGTATTAACTGTAAAATTTTTAATGTGTTCAACAATAATGATAAATGAAAAATAAATGACGTTATTTTGAAAAATTTATCGATTATACTTAATCTGTTAAGTCTTAATTCCGTAACGAAGCAATGTAGCAGAGGGGTCGCGTTTTGAAGTCGAGGATGAAAAATAATTAGGTAATATAGTATGCATATTATGGTAAGTGTAGCTTACTGTTGGAGAGGGTCTCGAGATGTTGCAGCGCGGTGTCGAAGGCGCGGCTGCAGTGGTGCGCGAGCGCGAGCGAGGCGAGCAGCGCGGCGGCGGCGCGCGGCAGCTCGTCGTGCGGCTGCGGCGGGCCGCGCCCCGCCAGCGCGCACGCCGTGCCCGCCACGCGGTACTGGCTCTCCGACCGGGACCCCACGCCGCGCACCACCACGCCCATGCACCCGCGGAGCACTACACGCACCGTGGAGACATTACTACATTACGTTCTCAGCAAAAAATCATTCTACTTAATGTGATTATGTAGAATAATTTCGGGAATGCTCGATTAGTTTCGAGCCATATTCTGACACTTTTGTGAGATTAGAAACACATTTAGATGTTTACAATTTACTTTCAAATTACTTTTAACATTTTCCTACAATTAAAGGTTCAAAATTTTAAGAGTTATCAGCTAAATTAAGTACTTATTTTAAAACAGACAAAAAGGTATAAATATATTACATACCAGTAGTGAGTAAGTTCAACGCCCGTGCATGGTCCTGCGGTGCGGGCGCGGCCACGTCTCCAGTGAGGCGCAGTGCGGTGTCGAGACGGGACACTAGTTGGCGCTCTGCACGGGGCACTCGTGCCTCGCCTTCTGTGTCCGAAGACTCTCCTGCCTCCGTCGCCTGATAAAATAAAAACAGATTAGATATACGATTATGGTAAACAATGTTAAAAGTTATTTGGACTCAAGAAAAAGGTCTTACGGGATCAACTGACGATTTATTTCTTTTTATTTTATTAAGGCCTTTATTTCACAACGTGGGCGCGCTTGTGATAGCGAAAATCTAGACTACATAGAAAAGCAAATTATGAGTTACACAAAAAGTTTTTCTGTACAGGAATATCCAAAATGCACTTGCGTCTTCTAAAGAGACCAAATACAGTCCAAATGGCCAAATATGTAGTGAATGACCTGTGTGTCGTCTGCGGGCGGCGCGTGTTCCTGCGCGAGCCTGGCGACGTGTATGGCGACGTCGGCGGCGGCGGAGAGCGCGCGCGGCGGCAGGCGCGCGGCCGCCGCGCAGCCCGCCGCCGGCTCGCGCGGACTGCACTGCATGGCCGCTGACGCTGCCGTCTTTATCACTACGGATACAAATACAAATTCATTTCTCATCTGCCGCTATTTGACACGCAATAGATAAACACATTGGGTCAGAAGTATATCGTCAATCGACGGGCATGTGTGAAAAAATTGAAGAATGTGGACAAAAAGATATATAAGCTAGCTATTATAAGCTAGAATTATGTCTCTGTCTACCCCAATGGAAGAGATGTCATTAGATTATCATTAATTGGTAAAAGGAGAGAATATGTCGCAATTCCCATGCTTGGTACGAAGTTAGGGAATTATGTTTTTCATACAAGTGGCATCTACTGACCTATATCGCCGTTCTCATCATAGAGCGCGGCGAGTCGTGGTTGTACAGTATCCAAGAAGTCAGCCAGACGAGGCGCGGGACCATTCTGCCCGCCGGGGAACACCAGCTCCGTGTCGAAGATCGTCATCAACAAACTGCAATAGGGAAATATGTTAAGTAATTATATTTAATTTTGTGTTTATTTTATGCATATTGAACTTTATTGGTTTTAGCTTGAAATTCAAAATCAAAATCAGTTTGTGAACTATTACAAATTTGATTAGAATTGTGTGTTCTATAGACTGTTAAATCATCTTTGACAGACAAATATTTTTTCTGAGTGCCAAGCACGAATAACTATCGCATTGTTAACGTAATAGTAGCTTGGATTGGTTGGTTCACTAGATCCACCCAATCCAAACGGCGAACACACTCGACACTCATACGTTACGAATGCGATAGTCATTCGTGCGTGAACGTTGATGTGATCATGTGTGAATATAATACATATATTGAAATTTACCTGCCGACCGTTTCCCGTACGTTTTGGTAGGGATGCTGTGTGAAGTTGGCCTCTTCCAACCGCTTCAACAGTTCAGCAGCCAGTGGTGCCGCCCTCCAACGTAGGGAGCCCAGTGCACCCTGCATACATAGATGATGGTATGTTAAATAAGTAACAATATTTTTACGCAGTATACAGTGGATACAAGTTCGATCCTTTCGTGATTAATATAAGGCTTTTGTTTTAATTTGTTCTTTATTTTGGTAAGAACAATGCCAGATATAAATCACAGAATAAGTAATACCGAATGCGTATTATACTGCTAACATTTCAAAAGACGACTTGATTAAATATATGTCTGTAAACCAAGGTCGTTGACCAATGAACTATGAACAGCACCATTGATAGGACAAACATAACATAAAGCTCCATAAGCGCTATCTAGTGAACACAAAAACACATTGATTCTTTTTTTTTTATATTACCTGTAGGGCATAGAGTCTAGCACAGATACTGAATGAAGTATCAACATCTGGTTCATTGTCTCGGGTGCGTGATCGTGGCGCGCAAATCTGGACTAGTCCTTCTATTACTTGACGGCCGCGGGTTGGGTCTAACTTCTCCACGCCAGTAGCCACGCAGGTGCCCCAGTCCTCGAGAGTTTCGGGGGTAACTGATGATAAACCTGGCGGGATAAAAAAATACAACGTGTAAAATGATAGTTTCGTATTTGCTCTTAGTTTTGTGTTTGCGCCTTACGACATCTATGAGTTATGGAGTTAAGAATTTAAAGTCTCATGCTGTGTTTAAAAAAGTTACTAGCCAAATTACTGCTGAATATTAATAAAACTGTTGTAATTTTTAGTTTAGCTCTTAAATGCCTAATATACCGAACATGTGTATCGTTAGTAGAGAGATGATAAGTTAAATAACAATATAAGGAACATCACAAATTTTACATTTTGATTGGCAAAAAGTTATTAGAGTATGACGTAATTTAAATCAGAACTAATGAATACAAAGTAAATATC